TTCTAAGAGTGAATACTTGGATAGGGAGAAAGGGGGTAATATATCTCCTTTTTGCTGATTAAACAACTTTAAAAAAAAAAAACTCGTTAATTGACATTTGCCGACTAAAAGTTCAAGTTTGCCGACAAAAGGGACAAATATGCCGACTAAATGCCATATTTGCGATAAATGCCAGTTAAATTGTCAAATATGGACTAAATGTCCATATTTTCCAAGTCTGGAATATATTCAAATATTATTCGGCTTTTGTAGGGGCGTCTTAGCATTCTCTCCCCCCCCCCCTTCCTTCCGTAGGAGATTTTTATCATTTAAAAATAATTTAAAAAAAAATCATACTTTAATGTTTCATTTCTATTTAATATGAGCAAAGTTCTCTTTTTTCGGTGCTTGAATACTTTAAATTTTTAAAAAGAAAGTGCTCGCCGAAAGTGCGTCACGTCACTTTCCTTGCCGATGTCGCAAGCATGATCAGAATAGGCATCGAATCTTGGATCTTTTGATTCTAAAGCTACTGTTCTAACTTCCATACGTTCAATAATTCTCGAAGATTAAGTATGCCTCTCCCTAGTTTTATTTATCCAAAATGGTAAAACAATGGTTGCTATATTTAAGACAAATAAGTTTAACAGTGTGAAAACAATTTCAACATTTGAAGTATATAAATAAACTTAAATGCTAATTGTAAATGTAAAACTGTAGTTTGATATGTGAATTGCAGCAAAAATGAACACTGTAATGTTTAATAATAAGCAATAATGGTGATGCAACTTATTAATAGTCATATTGACTATACATCAAAATTGAGTTTTAATCATTCTGCTATACAGTGCTAAACTTCTCGGATCGAAGTTAGATATCTAGCTATATAATATATGATTGGTCTCTATAGTTCTTTTATTACGTCACCATGATTGGATAATAATATTCTGATTTTATTTGTATTAACCAATCTAATAGAGACTTTAGATATTATTTCGTCTTCCCTAGCATTGCACCAGTTTATAGATGTAATCTACCTCAAATTTGCTAAAGCTTTTTATTCCGTACCTCACATCAGACTCATGTTAAAATTAAAATCCTTCGGAATAAACGGCAAACTACTACAATGGATTAATTTCTTCTTAGTAGGCAAAAAGCAACGCGTTACAATTAACAATACTGGGTTAATGTTCTTAGTGGTGTTCCTCAAGGTTCTGCTCTCGGCACGCTCCTCTTTATTCTTTTTACAAACGATCTTGCCCAACTTACAAAAACTTCTGAAGTGTTTGCAGATAATACTAAACTTTTTTCTAAAACTTCATCGCAGACTAATTTCGTTGATCTGCAGGACCGTCTACGCTTAGTATACGAGTGGTCAAACACTTGGTTACTTAAATTAAACATTTCAAAATGCTGTGTTATCCAATATGGTAAATCCAATCCTATGTATAGCTACTTTTTGCAAAATAACCAAGGTATAAATGAAAGCTTAAGAAGCTCTATTAAAGAGCACGATTTAGGAGTCGTTTTTACATCTAACCTCAAGTGGAGTACACATATTCAATCAGTTGTCTCCAAATCATTACAAATTCTTGGTATGCTAAAAACTGTGTCTGGCAACAATACATACTTACACATATGTGTAAGTACCTTTTTATGGACATATCTTGTATATATAATACTGTATCTTTTATATTTTCTCTATTTATGGTGATTTTGGTTGTTGCTTCAACTTTTTTTTAATTATATAATTTTTTTTTTTTTTTTCAGTGTACAATGTTAGTCGTGTTATAAAATTTATAAGTCGTAATACATAAACATAAGTCGTAATACATTTAAGTTGTACTAACAATATAAAACTAGGTTTCCAAAAGAAGATCATAAGGATCTTATCATCGGAACCTTAAAAAGTAAAAATATTTATTTATAACATTATATATATATAGAAAATTTAACGTATTTACATTATGCAAAGATACAACACATTTTAATATATAATAAGTTGAAGATTTAACAAATACATTTTACATACATTTTTAATAGAATTGTCGATAGAGAGAATGAATTTTTTTAACTTAATTTTAAAAACAGGAAGAGTAATAGAAGGATCAAAATTCTATTTTATTCCAAAGATGGGGTGCACGATATGCAATACAAAATTGATTGAACTTAGTTCTGCAAAAAGATTCATTTAAAAAACTATTATTTCTTAATGTGTATTTATTTACTGGTTTTAAAGAAAAAAGGTCGTTAAAAATAAATAAAGATAAATTGTTTTTCCATATAAAAGTAAAACATAAGACATTAAATATGTTAAGTTTATAAACATCTAGAACCTTTATATAACCAAAAAAATATTTTGAATGTGAAAAGCGATCCGTATAATTAACTACGCGGATTGGCGATAATTAACTACGCGGACGGCGATAAAGATGTTGTAATTTACTTTTATCCGTACTTCCCCAGGCGATGATTGCATAATTTATATAATTATGTATAAATGAATAATAGAGTTGGGTTAATTTTTTTTTGTTTAGATAATTTCGGGCTTTGTATAAAATTTGTGCATATATGATCAATATGTTTTCTCCAAGTAATATTCTCATCAAGGTAAGCACCTGAGAATTTTATAACAGTATCTCTTTTTATTATCGTTTCATCAATATAAATTTGAGGCATATTACATGGTAAAAAACGTTTTTTTTGCACAGGAGTGAAAGATAATCCATTTTGTTTTGTTAATATTTAAAGTTAATTTATTAGCTTTGAACCAATTAGAAATGTGATTTAGTTCTTAGTTTGTAGTTGAAAAGTGTTCATAAATATCAGTAAGGGATAAGAAAAGATTAGTATCATCAGCGAACATTATACTTTTCAATTCGGAAGCTTTGTTTAAGTCGTTTACATAGATTAAAAATAGTAGTGGTATTTCTGCTCTCACAACTATGCCCTAAATATTAATGTTTATTTTTCTTTTTAATTATATATTACGATTATAAAAAGAAAAAAAAACACACTCTATTATATCAGTGTATAGTGGTATATGACCTTTTCCCTAATATAACTAAGTGTGCCTAATTCCTTTCTATGCATATGAGCAGAAGTATATTTTTTTTAGAAAAAAAGTTGAAGCAACGACCAAAAAATCACCATATATAAAAGAAATATCGTTTTTAAAGTTGAAAAAAAAAAAAATTCAAATTCCTACGGTTAGAAGTTGAGCAAATTGGTTTGAAAAAATAAACAATTTACTATATTAAAATAGCAAAGGTCATTTTCAGCTTGTTTAACTTTTTTAATTTTAAAACTTATCAATCTACTGATTTACTTTAATTATAAAATAAAAATAGAAAGTTTTCATTCACAAATCAACAAAAAAAAGATTGTCATATAAAATGTTCGATGTAGTCAAGGACCGTAATTATTTTAAAAGTTCTAAACTTTTTAAAATTAATTGACGCATGCGTACCTAAACAAAGCGCATTTTCCTAATATCGAAACGACCGTGAGTCTTGTTTTGCAGCGACGATATATTTGTTCTGTATAATGTAAACAATTATTTAAAAAGGAAAGATAAATCTTTTATATTTTTTATTTACAAATAAAAACTTTTAGAGAAAAAAAATTCTATTATTTCAAAGTTAAAAAATTTTTATACTTTTTATGCGAAATTTTTTTTTTTTACTAAATTCGTGACGTAACGCCAATTTTTACATTGCGTAAATCAGTTGAGGGTAGGCTCTCTTGTCAAACCCTTATTCCGACGCTGTCCTTAAAGTCCGCGAAATGGCGAGTTATAACGCTTTAAAGATTTCGCGATGGAGTTGCTACGGAGTTTATTTTTAATTTTTTTTTTATCAAGATGCTTTAATGGTCAAGGAGAATACCATTTAATAAGTTGGCTTTACTTTTTATTATATTTTGCTCAATTATAAAATCAAATACTTATAATAAAAATATTTAGTATATAAAATATTTAGTATATAAAAGTTTTATAGTTTGGTTATGTTAAAATAATGTTTATTACGTACTTTGAATATTTTGCCTTTTAATGGCGAAATTATATTTAGCAATTGTTCGAAGTGTCATGCGAAAAATTTGCAGGGAAAATAAAACGAAAAATTTGCCGGGAAACTGTTTACTTTAAAAATGTTTAAATTAAAAATGTATTATATACAATTGACATATGTAATGTGAGTTAGCCACACAGCCATTTCCTCGATTACTCCGTGACTTTTTCAAAATTCCACCCGATTTCGCTGATTATTATTTTCAAAATTCAAGCCAATTTCACTCATTATAATTATCAAAATTCAACCCAATTTCACTCATTATTCACTGATTTTTTTGCAGAAAACTGAACACAGGTACTTTACCGATTATTATCAATTTAAATATTTATTAAATGATTAAAATAATATGAACGTATCATTATTAACGTAAGTTTATTAAAAATTATTATTATTAACATCAAAAATAGAATATATTGCCACAAAACAAATTTTTTTTACCTTAATTATGTTGAACTCAGTTTACTATTTAAACTATTGGCTAATGATCAATACAGTAAATTTCAAATCATTAAAATTTACCAAATTAAAACCATATCTCAACAGTAGGTTCAACCAAATTTAAACAAAAGCTAGACACTAAAGAAAAAAAAAAAGAAAAAAGAAAGAAAATATTAAAAAACATATTTTGTTATTCATACATGTAAAAGTTTACTTATTTATATAATTATATTATTTATATAATTAACTATTAATTGATATACAAAAAATGTTGTTAAAAACCTTAAAATATAAAAATATTTCTTGGTTTTTAACAATATGACATAAAAAAAAGGCTTTTAAAGAAAATCAACAGAAATAATGCTAAACCTTAACTAGACAATATTGGACTCCTACTTATATTAGGAATAATATAATGTAATAAGACTCATACCCCAGGTTCCATTGAGTCTAAAGTAAAGAAGTAATTTAATTTATTTTAAAAAACTAATAATAAAAATACTGACAGATCCTCTCAAACGCATCTAAACTTTAAAAAATACTTTATTAAAATAAAGACCTGAAATATTTCTAAAAAAAAGCCAAACTAAAAAAACCAATTAACTAAAAGTGATACTATTGACTAACAATTGTTGTTATCAACTATTTTTTCTCTAAGCAGTCTCACTAAAAAGTTAAACTTTTAACTCTAACTTCAAATCAAACTTTTTTTTTAATAAATCTAAAATATTTACAATCTTTATTTAAAAGAATTATCAATAACTGTTTGTCCCTCTTAAAATTTTTTTGATTTTGAGCTTATTCTCTTCTTGTCAGCATAAATCTGAAGTGTGATTGGACTATTGAAAGGTCCAAACCAGTGATTCTAATATTTGTTAGGGTTTTCGGGCCTCAAGTGTTTGGTTTGATATATGTAAAAAATAGACAAATCACATTGGTTCGATAGGAATATTGTAAAAAGAATCGTCTAAAGGTGCATATTCTTCAATCATATCTTGTTTCTCCTTTTCTTTTTCTAAAATTTTTATACTAGATGCAATTTTTCTTTTTTCTGTCGAAATTCCAATTCTGCCAGTAAATTTTGTTTTCAAAATTTTTGGTTTAGGTAATTTATCTGAAATTGCACATGCACACCTTTTTTTCTTAGTAACTTCATTCCTTTCTAATGGGATGTTGTCATGTTTAGGGACGTTTGAAGCTCATTTAGGATTTCTTGAAGTTTGAATTTTAATGATTTAACCACAATCTCATCATAAATTAAGTAACTTAATGTTTTTATTTGAGAAAGGATATCTCTACATGATGATGCATTTGTTAGCTTAGGGTATATTTATTCTGCACATTTTCCAAAATAACATGACCTTGTGTCTCAGATAAGTTGTCTTTAAAACATATATTAGATTCTTCTTCATGACAAGATTCATTACCATAAATGACTGAATTATCCAAACAAAAGTATGGAGATAATAGGTAACAGTAGGTAGCACAGGAAAACTTGTTTTCTAAAATGGTGACTTAAATTTCAAATAAAATTTCTCTTGGTAGCCCAGCAGGACAACCAGGCAGTTTGTTACTTACAAAAAAATGTTTATTATTAATATAAGATTTCATTCCTTGCAATTATTTAAAAGAAACCTTCAAAAAGTATTTAATTTAGTTATACACTACGTTTAAAAATAAATACACTATGGCGCATTAATACATTTTTAAATATTACCAGCCTACTGGTTATCATTGCAGACAACTCAAGTAAGAAAATATTTCAGCTGCAGGAACACCATGAAAAGACCAAAGGACACACCCCTGTATATATAACAACTTCATCTATTACTAAAAATAATCAATCATTTTCACAAAAAATTATCAAACACTTTCAGAACATCAGTTAGGGCAGCAACTCTAATTACACAGGATAATAATTTACCATAAATATACCTTACCTATGTATACGCATGAACAAAGAAGCTATAACAACAAAAAGAAATTATAATTAAATATAACAAACCAACCTTTAAAAACATTTTCGATTGATAAAACTTCTGCCTCACAGTTATCAGTCATAAAACACTTAGGGTTCCATTCTGGATTCCACTGACTTAATCTTTTTAGTGCTTCTGTTATTGTATCAGTAGTTTCATCTTGCACTGCAAAGGACGCTACTACCTGATAGTTACTGTTTGTTTTTACAATAACAAAGAACAACAGGATTGCATATCTAGTAGATTTATAAGTGGCATCTAGTAGACATATATGATTGCCATATTTATAAAGAAGTTCTTTTTGACTTATTGTCTGGTGAATAAAAAGAAGTTTTTGTTTTGTAGGAAGTACGTTAGACTAAATATAAAATTAAAATAAAAAATAATCTCTAAAGCTTACTAAAATTTATATAAAAATTTATCACATCAAAAATATTGCCAGGGATACATTTCTAGATATATTAAACATATTAAGAACATTTCTCTAAAAGATAAAAATAAGTATAAAAATGCATTTGATTTATTAAATTATTTTTTTTATAGTATCATTTTTTCCTTTCATTATACTCAAAATAATCATAATATACCAATACAACTTTCACTTACAAAAATATCTTCTTCATCTTCTCTGTTAAATTTTTCTGAAACTTCTAATTCTTTGCTATGGTCTGTAACTTCTCCGTAACCACGATAATAAAACTTATCTCTTGGGTATTTATTTCTCCATTCTTCAACCTTTTGCTGGAGATTTTCTTGATCCAGTTTAGAAAATTTCAACTTTGTAGCAGCTTTATACATATGATTTCGTATATCTTGAATTTTTGGGTAGTATCTTCTAGATGATGTTGGTGGTAATTCTAGTCCTCTAAATAGTTCGTCTTTTACATATACACGAATAGATCTTTGCATTTCACGTGGATTTCGGATCCCTTCTTCAACTAATTGATAAATTTTGGAAATAATTTTAGAATCAACTTGTAGTGACAAACCAGCCCTCTAAAAAATTTTTTTGAATGTTTTTGGTTAACTTTAATGGTTTCATTTTATATTGTTTTTTTTTTTTTTACTTTCAGATTTAAGAAAAAGAAGGTCGCAATATATTATTAACATTAAACTATTTTTGGTGGTCTTCTGGAAGGCACAAAATACAATAATATAGAAACAAGGTCAACAAAAGAGGTTGAAGTCAGATCAGCAGATAGTTCAGCATTGCAGAGTGCTGAAACTAAATCTGAGGATTGGTAACCATATTTGACTTTTTAAAGATTTTGCTTAAAACTTCAGAAAAAAAACAAAATTACTTTTCCAACTAAATGACCTTTGTGTTCGTCTTTTAAGGGGAAAGAAACAACAACAATTTTTCTGTCAAAATTAAATGTTTCTTTTTTGTTGCTTCAGTCCTCCTTCAGTCTTTCAGCGACAGTACGCTTTTGGCGTTCAGTGTTTGCTTCTGCCTAAATTTAAAATTAATCTATTAATCTATTCCATTAAATAGTGTAATTTTTACAAAAAATTTAACTTAAGTCTGTTACCACTATTTTATAATAAAGCATAATCTAAGAAAAATCACAGAAATTGTATTGAACTTTAAAATCTGGAAAATAAACCACATCTCTTATTGTAATTTTTGCAGGGCAGTTCATTTTCTTTGTATCTTGGGACAAAAAACGACTTTTAGCATACATTGTGGCACTATTAACAGTATCCTAAATGAAAGTTCACACACATAAAAACATTTAAAAAATTATATATTTATCAAGGTAAGATTCTAATCCATTATTTTTTAGTTATTTTTGTATCAATTAATAGGACATATTTTACTCACATCAAATTTTTAAAAGTGGTCAAAATAAATTACTTTTGCCTTTAAGTGGTCAAAATAAATTACTTTTGCCAAAATAAATTACTTTTACCCAGTTTTTCTGCTTGATTTCTCATTTTCCGCGATATAGTATGATTAACTCCATGAGTACAATCAAGATGTTTCGAACCAACAATTATAAACGGAACTCCACTAAACATAATTTGCTGACTAGGTCGAAATTTATTCTTTTTATCTTCAAAAAGTATTTTGTGGTTTTTCAACTCAAAATCTAAAAAAACATTAAAGTGTCAATATTTAATTTATATAAACTATTTAATATACTAATTATAAGTTAGATTTTTGCTCTTTTTTTAAAGCCGGCACAGACATTAAAGCCTAGCATTAAAACTACCAAAAACAACAATATTATAAATAAATGTAAATTTAAATTAATTTTAACATAAATATATTTAACTTCATTAAATAAATGTAAATTTATTTAACTTATTTAACTTGTCTGAAAAAATAAAAAGACAGTATAATTGAAAAATATATACGTCATAAATATACTACATTTTCAAAATAAATAGATTGCAAATGGAAACCGTATTGAAAGTTATATGACCATCAAATTATGCTGTGCATATCCATCAAAACATGCTGTGCATACCCAGTGATTTAAATCATGCAAAATTTTAATTGTCATAACTCAAAGCTTTAAACCCCTCTATCCCTTGCGAAAGTAGTGTTGACTGACATTGTTCTTCATTCGCCAAATTAAGGCTAACGATAGTATTAACAGCGTCGATAATGCGGTCATTTAGCCATTCATTAGACTCCAAAATTTCTTTATCTTCTTGTTTTAGATTCAGTTCCTGTATCCACCATGCAATTGGTGGGAGTGGATCTTCTAAATCTATAATTTCTATTGAAGTTATCGCTTGTTTCAAATGAACATCTTCCAATAAAACAGAAGTTAGTGAAGTAATTAATGTAAGTGGAAACCAAAGTTTTAAATTGCTAGCATTAACAACTTGTTTAATAATTTTTTCTCCAAGTTGAAGTCTGTAAACTCCTTTACCTAACTTGTCTATGATTTTAAAAGGACCTGTAAACCGCGCAGAAAGCTTGTCACCCATTCGTGTGTCACGACGGTTATGTTTAAGTACCATTTGCCTGACTTTATAGGTTGCAGCTGAATGCTTTAGATCTTAACCTTTTGTTGCACTTTTTCAATCTTTTCTTTCGCCTGTTCTCGTGTATTTTGTAGGGATTGTTTAAGGGTAATTATATGTTGAGGTACGTCATCATTTTCATCAACAGAAGCCTCGCATATGTCTTTTTCTATATCGATTGAAAGACGAGCTTTTACTCCATACATTAGTTGGAAAGGCGAATACTTTACAGATGCTTGAATGTTAATGCGATAAGCAATAACAACTGGATTAACAAATAGGTCCCAATTGTCACTTTCTTTGTTTATTAGCTTGAGCAAATGTCTTACCAAGGTTTGATTAAATCGCTCCGTCAACCTGGAAATCCAATAAGATAAAAGTTTGTTTTATAATTATAGAAAAAAATTTGTTCAATATGATATGGTGTGTATATGTTGTTGTAATGACATAAAATTACCGTTTTAAAATAAAAAATTTCAAATTTTAATAACTATATAAAAATATTCAGCCATCTTGAAAAAGAATTATCTGTTTTTTAAAGATATACCCATTAGTTTGAGGATGGTATGCAGATGTCATAGCAACTGTTATTTTCATTTGTTCACAGAGATCCTCGACAAGCTGGTTGTTAAATTCCTTACCTTGGTTGTGTAAAATTATGTTAGAAGCACCAAAGCTGAATACAAGCTCCATCAAAAATGCATGAACACTAATAGCATTTTTTTTCCAGAATAGGTTTCACTTCCGCATATTTCATAAGATATTCAGTAGCTACACAAATATACTTTTTTCCTTTTTTTGTCTCTTTAAGAGGACCAATAAGGTTGATACAAGCCGCACATTTACGTGCAAAATCTTTGACGTCTGCTGCTATACAAGACCACCAACAACGATTGGTTACTTTAGCTATTGTTGCAGATTGACCGAAGTGACATCCCCCGATAATTCCATCATGCATAGACTTTATTTTATATTTTTTTTGGTCTTCATCAATGATAACTCTTCCTAATTTACTATGTAAACTCCTACTCTTGTGATAAAGAAAATCTTTTACAATCAAAAAAGAAGTAGCTTTTTGTCGCAGTCGTCTTTTTTGTGCTTTATCGTAACCAGGCGGATACACTTTATTTAAAATATAATGTTTCAAATTCATATAAATTTCTTCGTCTAGTTTATTATTTATATCTTCAATTTTGTGTTGAATTTTATTTAATGTTTTTAATGGCTTCCATTTTTGAGACTGTTATACAACTAAATCATAATTTAACATTTCTTTTCTTTTTCTTCAATTTATTCTTAATTTAATTGCTCAGTAATAACTATTATTTACGATCTTTTTAATAATTGACAAAAATAATAGACAAAAACATTTTTAATGAGAAAACTACGTTGTATTGGTTCTTTGTCAAACGGCAAGACTTGCAAAAATTTTACATTATCTACCTGAATCCTATAATGGTCAGCAATAACTATTATTTATATCTTTTTAATAATTGCATTATAGACAAAAAATAAAAACTGTTCTTAAAACCATCGGATTTGGCCAATGGTTACCTAGGCCGATGCATCGGCTAAATGGTCGATGCATCAGCTAAATGGTAGATGCATTGGCAGGCTGATGCCAATCCAACCCTACATATAATAGACTCAGTGGAAAAGGTGCGTAGCCCACATTTCTTAAATTTCCATGGTAACCACTTTAACCCACTTTTAATGTGGTTTAAAGTGATAACCTGCAAAATTTCGAAAAGGTGGGTTAGGCATCTTTTCAAGAGTTTGTCATATAGTGTTAACATTATTATTAAATCTTAATATAAATACATTTATGACGCATACACTTTTTAGTCATTTCATTTTTTTTCATTTTTCATAAATCAGTAAGCTTCTAATCATAATATATCAAGGTTATTTGGAGAGTATGCATTTTAATACAGTTTGAAAATAAAAAAAGCATGTATTAATTTTTCTTTTACCATAAACTGCAAAATATGTTATATTCATCATTCTTCATTTTTTCTTCTTTTTCGAAAAAAACAGTATAGCTTAAGGTAAGCAGAAAAAGTGAGCAAATGCTTATCAAAACATGCTTTAGTAAGTGTATATATATTTACATATATATGTGTGTATATATATATATATATATATATATATATATATATATATATATATATATATATATATATATATATACATATACACATATATGTATGTAAATATATATATATGATGTATATATATATATATATATATATATATATATATATTTACATGCATATATGTATATATATATATATATATATATATATATATATATATATATATATGTGTGTACCATACGTGTGACCATAGTCACCTAACAAATTAGTGAATTGTTATATATGTAAATGCCTAGGCCAATCGTGTGAATATTACAATCTTAATAAATCAAAGACAGATATCAAGGAACACTAAGATAGCGAACTTAAACTAGTTTCACAAAGGTTAAGTGAACTTTGCGAGAATAAGGATTTGGAAAAAAAATTAATTATAAGATTACTGATATGTATTATACTTTTTGGTACACTATTCATTTTGGGATTTTTAAAAGAACTTGACTCATGGATAGCATGGATAGTACTCAATACACTGTTAGTACTATCATATTTTACAGCTGTTTTGGAATCAACCTCTTTGAGAGCTAGCACAGAGTTTGGTAAACCTGACTACCAGCTGTCTTCAAAAAAGCATATCCTACAAGACAGCATGATAATAGGCAGGTTTTACTGGGTTATATGGTACCAGTAGCAGTAAGATCTAACAAAAATAACCTTAATCCCTGAAAAAATGAACTAAATAATATTTTATGCATATAAATAACAATGAATATATAAATAATAAAGCAAACTAAGAAACAAATTTAAAAAATCTATACCCTTTACGCTAAAAGTTTTATCTTTTTTAAACGTTGAAAATTTAGAGGATGTTTGTATCTCATATTTAATAATTGAATCTTCTGCATTTTGTAGAGTGCCAAACACAGAAAATGTGGTATTAATCACTTCATTGCCTT